CTCTCTCTCTCTCTCTCTCTCTCTCTCTCTCTCTCTCTCTCTCTCTCTCTCTCTCTCTCTCTCTCTCTCTCTCTCTCTCTGTGTGTGTGTGTGGCCCAATTTCGCAGGAAATAACAATAGCAACCATTACATTGATCCAAGGGCAAACTCTGTTGCTGGTGCTGTAGTCCCCAAGACGTGGGAGGGTTGGCAGAAAAGATGGAGAAGATATTCAAGTGAGGCGCCATCACCTCCCACTTTCTTTGTCTCTACTTCTTAAAGGCACCAGGAAGACAGATACCAACCAGCCAGATATGGTGGGAAGCAATGGCTGGTGTAATGAAGCCCTTTCTTGATCAATAGTCATACCACCTCTTTGCGCCTCTTCTGAGCAGCGCTTGCAGCCCCGTTTCAGATCCTTCTCTGGCTATGGCTTTCACCAGGATCCAGCTATCGAGGCGTGGAGAGTTCCTCCTCAATGTTATAGAACCTCCATGCATCACAACTGAGCACAACTCACGCCCAGTCTCCATAACCCCCTTCTAGTCATGGCTCCCTCAAAGCTCCATTCTTCTCTGGCTATGGCTGCCACCAGGCTCTTCTTAGCCATGCAAACGTTCTGCTAGCTTGTCCTAAGCCTTTCCGTAGCACTAGTCTAACACTCCAGCCCAGCACTGAAGTATTCTGGCCCTGGTCGAGCAGCATAGTCTTACAGACTCCATCATTCTCCTGAACAGACCATCTTATGCCGCCCAGGTGCAAGCTGCACCTGCTACTGATTGGCTGCAGCACTGGCAGCGGTCTGGTCTTCATTTCAGGACCTCAGTCTTGCTGTCTGTCCACTGGGATGCGGACTGTCCCGTAAAGACCCAGCGGGGAGTCTGCTATGGAAGTGCTACGACCAGGGCAGTATGCCTGGGATCGGAGCAGAACTCTAAAGGGACAACTCTGGTACAAACAAGGGGGAAACGAAACAGCAGGTATAGATTGAGCCAAAATCCAAAGGAGTCGGCAGGTTTTCATCAAGATGGAGCTCAGAAGGAGGGGGAGGAGGGAAAGGGGGCTGTTTGGAACATCACCAGAGCTGGGGGGTTGAACCCCCTACCCCCTTCTCCCAGACTCCCACACACAGCTACCGAGAGATGCTCGTATCTGGCAAGCTTGACAGGTTGAGAAGAGAGTCGCCAACAAGTCTGTCAAAACACAAATCGGCCAAAACAAAAGTGGAGCTACATTGAACATTCTCTTTAATTATTAAGAGCTCCGCCACAGTTGTTGTCTTCAGTTATTAAGAGCTCCACCACAAAAAAAAAAAAAAAGAGCTCCACAGTCCTCCACCACAATTGTGAATTGCGCATTCCCTGCCCATGTGACCGAGCAGGTGTTGTTCGCAGGGGAAGATAACAGGTGCTGGGGCAAGGTCCCAGTTGCTGTCCATTCCAAAAGACGATGTCCGGTCCAGACGACCCGGCCCGCCGGCCCGGCTCGCGGAAATTGCTCACTTGGCTGGTGTTGCATTATTAACCACCTTTGTTAAGAGAAGTTGCTTGTCGCTGTTTTTTCGGAAGTTTTTCCAAGTTATTTGGCTTATCATCCTGCTTACATGCGTTTTTTGGCACAGGGAAAAGTCAATGCGCTTCAGGCTAAGTCTGCTGCAGAAGACCATGCGCGTGATCTGAAGGAGGAACTCTTCGCAAAAGACGAAAAAGTTGCAGAGCTGGAAAAGGAGGTACATTGTCCCTGCAATTTCTGGAAATGCGTAATTCCATACCAGAGCAGCTTCAATTGAAAGGACTTTGATGAGCCAAGTATGAGGCAGAGATGAGTGAGAAGAACGGGGAAGAAAGGGAAAGGTGTAGACGTAGGAGGAGGGATGGAAGGAGGAGGAGGAGGAGGAGGAGGAGGAAGAGGAGAACTGCTACCATGTAGCGTTGTAGGCGCTGACACAGACAAGAGCATGAATTCATGCATGGCAGCGTCTGTATGTCATGTATGGACGGTCGCAGACGATTATCAAGCAGTTCATTGGATCTTCTGCATGAAGTACTCAATCAATCAATGATCTTCGTCAAGAAGCAAACAGACAAACAAACAAAAGAAAGCCAAAAAGGAAGCTATGTCAGCCCTTTTTTTGTAATTTAAAAAGAATAGAAGCTAAGGCATCCCTAAAATATCCGCTCATAGCAATACCCAAGCTGTGTCTCACCCGAACAGAATGTCCGGGTCCTTATAGGCTTATAGCTGTGTTTGGGCCAACTTGAAGTCTAGATACGTACTATGCGGGGAAAAGTAACGGGACTGAAGCTTCCCCCTCTCCACAGCCCCGCCGCCTCCCCCCCTCCTAAAAAAAGATAGAAAAAAAACCTGCCCAGCATATTCCGTCCACTAAGGGGCTCGTTCGACACTCCTCGGGCGCGCAAAGTCCCCGAGGAATTGTTAGTTCCACTTATCCTCGGGGGTGCAGTCGGAAAAAAAAAAGTGAAAACACCCCGAAGGAAATTCCTCGGGCTCCGAGGATTCCCCAGCCATTTCTCCCTTTTGCCCAAGGGACCTCACGAGGTCCCTTGGGCAAAAGGAATCCGCTTTTCACGGAGAGGAGCGGGCACACGCATAGAGAGACGTTACAACCGAGAATCTGGATCGTGGCGGCACCCTATTGGCTGAAGGCCTTAAGCACATTTGTTTTTTGTTTTTTTCCTTTTTTCTTTTCTGACATCGCTCCAAGGAAACGTCCTTGGGCGACGTCCCCGAGGACAGGTGGAACGAAGGGCCCAAATTTCCTTTTGACTAAAAGGAATTTTTCCTCGGGCTCCGAGGACGCCCCAAGGTGTTTCGAACGAGCCCCTAACCACCACTACCTTTCCGGCTGTGACTCTAATTCTCAAAAGTAGCCTACTCTACATTTTTCCGAGACCGGCGGAGGCTGGGCGCTACCGGACCACAAAGGCTGGTGGCGCCAGCCAAAATAAAACAAAAACGCTGCACTGGTGCTTCGGCACTCCATTGGTGCGCAACGAAATTCAGGATCGGCAAACGGAGGATCGGAGGTAGTGGTGGTTTAAAAAAAAAAAAAAAGAGGAGATGGCACAAGGACCAACTATGTGGATCAGGATGCGGCCAAGTGGAGACCATTACGCACCTCTTTGTGAGGTGCCCGGTGGTCCGGGCTTTCTGGGAATGGTGGGCGCAGGAGATGGCGGACAAAACCCCCTTGGGGGTCACGGAGATGGATGATGCAATTGTCCTTCTGGGGGCTCTGATGAGGGTGGACAGATCACAGGCGGAGGACCAGATGGCTTCAGAAATCATCAGGGCAGCAGTGCTGTGGGCGCTGTGGAATTTGAGGAATGAGCGAGCAAACTACACCACCACTGCGGGCTTATCAAGAAAGGGCGATGGAGAACATTAGAATCGCCCTCTTCGCAGATTGGCAGCGCTGCAAGCATGAAGGAGGGCAGGAGGGAGGCTTTGGGGCACGATGGGAACCTTACCTGCAGCTGCTCACCCGAGACCCTCAGACGGGCCAGATGCAGCTGGGCCCTGGCCTGATGTGTCATGTGCCACGGACTGATGCAGAGGGAGAAGCAGAGAATGAGTAGACAGAGGGGGATAGAGTATGATGAGAACAGCTGGTTTGTAACATAAGTAGGATGTGAGGAATGGGGGAATGGGGAAATGGTAGATGTAGAAGAGTGGGATAGGTGGAAAGGGTGGAAGGTTAGATAGTGAGAGGAGGGGAGGGGGGGGGGAGGGGGAGGAGGGGGAGAGTATAGAGTTAGGCTACAGAGGGCTTTAATCTGAAAACATAAAAAAGGATGAAGCCAGAGGAGGTAGGAATAGAGGATAGAGGGTCATGTGGAAGAGGAGTGGTAAAATGCTGGGGCTACCAATAATAGAATGGAGGTACAGAACAACAGTGTACATAGAGTCATGGAAGACTATATACAGCATTCAAGGGATAGGAGAGGGGGAAAAGATCAGATAGAATCATAGAGACTGAAATGGGCCAGGGCCCAGGGGTCATCTGAGAGATAGACAAATGTATGATAGGAGGAACCGGGAACTAGGCAAGGCTTGGAGTGGCAGAAAACAATTGTTGATGGGATAAGCGGACCCAGGGACTGCTCTGGAATGCCCCCCGCGCACCGTGCCCCGCGATGGACCACCCTATTGCGTGTCTGGGTGCTGCTACCGTCTTCACCCGAATAGAACGCCCGGTCATTATTGCTGCATCTGGACCGCAAGTTGTGCCAAGTACGGTTATAATGACCGGGCATTCTATTCGGGTGAAGAGGGTAGTAAGCCTCCCGGCCAACAGGGTGATCCACCGCAGAGGGACAAAGGCTTAGGGTCGGAAGTACAGAAGCAGCGCCCCCTTGTTTAGGCGGCTAGTGCCATGAGGGTTGGGCTGACCTTTGTTTTCTCGTCTTTTCGTCTATTGTCTTTCACAGTCTTTGTAAAACATGCTTGCCGGGGATAAGTAACCGGACTGGTGCCCCCCAGAATCGAAGGGGCTTGTGGGTTCAAACTTCAAAAACAAAAAAAATAAAAAAATAAAGTGATGAAAAAGAAAAAAGAAGAAGAGAAAAGAAGTGGTGTAAAAGGTGATGGTCTACTTCAATCACCAGTATGTCCTGAAAGTGCGGTCGTGCATGCGCCGGGAAGCACTGGGATGAACGGGACTGCTAGGCTGGGCTAAATTCATTCGAAATGAACAGTCGCGGCGCTGTAGCAATTGCTGGCCCCCTAATTGCCGCTATTTTCCGGAGTGCTGGTGGTTTAAAAATGGACGCCAACCTTCAATCACCAGCCAATCATCAACGACTGCGTCCTGCTTAGAGTGAACGAAAATGCCGCAAATCTCAATTTTTCAGCAATTAAATTCTTAAAAAGAAAACAATATAGTGAGTATACTAACACATCCATCTGCATGTACTGCTCTCCTTTTCTGTTCCCCTCTTTCCCTTTCTTGCTTACAAAAGAAGGGAGAGGAGGCCACCGTGGAGTATTAGGGGCATAGCCCCTAACACTATGCATCAAAAGGATAATGTGTGGCTGATCAGCAGTTTTACGTGTATACCATTCACCCACTAGCCTCCAGGTTTTGTTAAACCACCACTGATCAGCACTTTTACTTGTGCGGCTTGTCCATAATCATGTTTGATGAAATTGTGGGAAAGTGTTGTGGGAAAAGTTCCGGAAAACAGCGCGAGAAAATCCGCGTTCGTTGACAGGCCCCGAGTCGGCGTGTTAGGTCGTAAGGGGAGTCAGAGTCTATAGAGACGGAGAGGAAGGAATGATAACTGTTCTCAGTTTGGTGAGACCGTGAACCGCTCGTCCTACTGGAACAGGCGGCGGCGGGCCGGTTTGCGGTCCCACAGCCTCTGGAAAATCAACGGTCAAGAGCAGAGAGAGATTTATTGGGTTGAGCCATGGGTGTCTTCCAGCTCTTTTTCTTTTCGGAATTTTGGAAAAGAAGACAGGATCGCAGGGTGGTGTGCAACCCAAAGGTTGGTGAAAATGACATTTTACATCGCATCTCGGTAGATTTTCTCAAACTTCTAGAGTCTTTTCGTCGGGAGCCGAAGCTGGGTATTTGTGAGGAGCCGATGCTGGGTATTCGTCAGGAGCCGAAGCTGGGTATTCGTCAGGAGCCGAAGCTGGGTAATGGCCCTGGTACTTCAAATTTTGTACGAGTTTCCATATGGGACGCTGGGCTCGGTTCCCAGCACGTGCTGCTTCCCACGATTAGATTTCAGCCTTTGTCCAGGAAAAAAAAAAAAAAAAAAAAAAAAGAGTTCAGGTGAACATGCACATTGTGTGCGGCACATGCACATGCGCTATCCGTACTGTGTTATGGCTCGTGCACTGGTGCACACGTTTTCGAGAATACAGTCATGGTCAGTCTGTTTTTTATTGAACTTTATTCATCGCTCGAGGTCAGAGCTTTGCGCCCCTCCGCCAGGACCGCCTGTGGCTGTTAGGCCTAACCTGACCACAGATGGGGTTAGTCGGCGTGGGGCAGGGATTAATCCTGCACATACTGGTGGTTTAGACCAAAAAGGTATGCCATGACGAGGAGTCTGTTCTGCACTGGTGCCTGCTCTTATCAGCACCCCTAGCTCCCGCCCGGGTATCTTCACCAAAAAAAAAAAAAAAAAAAAAAAGAAAGAAAGAAAGAAAGAAAGAAAGAAAGAAAGAGGGACTCGCAATCAGGCTAGCTCTAAGGGACATAATTATAGTGGTGGTTGCAACTGATAGTTTTGTTTGGGTGAGCAGAGTCAGTACAGGACAAACAGTGATAGGAAGTAACCGGAACTCATGCCACACTTTTTTTTTTTTCGCTCTTTGTTTGGTAAGGAATAGCTTTGGATGAAATTGTTGCAACGCTAACCGTCTTCAGACCAATATATGTGAACAGGACATCCCTAGAGTCCACACTTAAACTACAGTTACTTGAGAAAGGTGTATGCACATACGCAGCAGCCTGGGCGGGATGGGATGTATGGGCCAACGTGCACCTGGGTAAATTCAGAGGTGCGAAGAGGCCCGCAGAGGACGAAGGAACGGTCCCAAGTACCTGGTGGTTTAAACCACCAGTACTTGGCCATACACTGCAACTTTCGGGGCTCGGCCTCCGAAGCAAAATGGCTGGCGGCACCAGCCAAAAGGAGGCTGCGCCAGCTCGTTTTTTTTTTGGCACACGGGGCATATCCAGGGCCGGAGAAAAGTGCCTCAGAAGCACTGGCAGTTTAAGAGTTATTCTTTGTGTTCCTTCTCTTTGCTCTCATCTGCATTATCATTTGCTGCTTCCAGTGATGTTGGTTTTACAACTTTTATTCAGGGCTTGGGTGACATGTCTTTTTTTTTTCTTCTTCTTTTTCTTTTTCTTTTTTTATTTATTAAAAAATCCTCGGATCAGCTTGAGGCGCTGGTAGGAGCAGACACATCAAGCTTCCTCGGAGGAGGGTCCATCTATTGGTGGGGAGCTCCACCTGCTGGAAAATGGGCCCAGCGTCCCTTTATACGACTGTACATTGAAAAACAGGGACCGGTTGAAACGCGTGGGGGGATCGCCTCTTCAGTCTGTCGGCAGACCGCCATTAATATTCAATGAGACGCTAGCTACTCCCCCCCTTTATTCACTGTATGTTGGTCAATGTCGAGGGTGGCCACATTCATCCTCCTCCCTTTGAAATCGAATCCCTAAACCCTAAACCCTTGATACTCGATTGCTTCAGCGCAGAACCCTCACATTTTGTAGGCTGTGGCAGGCGCGACTTTGACTGTACATATCAGCACATACCACCCCTGCTTGTATCCCACCTCCCTCTTTTGAAGTCTGAACCCCTAAGCCCTCGAAAAGCAGAGCGCTGAACCCTCTGCACACACAGACTTCATTGCGGTGAATCTGAGTCGTTGCCCCTCCATTCTGTGAACCTTTTGTTTTGATGCGGCGGAACCATTGATCTGTGAGTCCCCTGTGTCGGCAGAGTGTTCTGCCACTCCTTTGAATATCCATGGTCCTATGTATGCTTCGATTGTATCTTTGACACTGTCGGTGGCTGCCCTCCAATGTCGTCATTAGTTGTTAGTACTTGTTACTGAGCAAGTCCACAGTCCCCAGACTTGTAGCTGCTCCCCCTTCCGTTTCTGCCGCCCTTAGCGCGTCGTTGTTCCCTGCACATATTTTTCCATCCTGTCTGCGGGTTGGGAGCGAGGATCTACGGGGCAGGCATGGGGCTGGGAGGTTGGGAGTGCAGTGGGGGGGCACAGTGAGTGAGAGGGGGGGGTTGCTACAAGGATGAAGTTAATCGGAAGGTATGGGACCTGATATTCAGTAAGAGGCTTTCGTAGCCACGTGCCCTCTGAGTTTCTCCACGACGGTCTCCACAAAATGCCCATACTCGCATCCAGTTCACTGAACTTCCTATGGGGATCCTGGCATCATCCTGCCAAATTTGAATGTAGGAGTCGTGGATGGCCTGTTTGGCCTGAGGTTCGCTCTCATTTCAGTATTCGTTTATCACATTTTTCCACGCTTCCCAGGTGCGGGATCTGATCACCTCCTCTATTGCGTACTGGGCTTGCTGCAGGCCGAACTGATGGTCCTTCCTTTCAAAGAAGCACCTTGCGCGCCAGGCCAGCATTACACTTTTCTTTTTTCAATAACTAAGCTATATTTTTCTCTCAGTTTAACCTTTTGCTATCTACCTACCACTACTCCTAAGCCTATACGGCGGACCTCTGCAAGCATTGCTACCTGTCACAATTAAGGGGATGCATGTTGCCCCCCGCCCTGATCGGCGGTGGTCAGGGAGTAGCTTCTGGGTTGATTGCAGGGAGGGGGAAAAAAAAAAAAAAAAAGGGAAAGAAAGAAAGTTGTCTCATCCAAGGATCTGACATATTGTGACATGTGAATTGCAGCTAGATGCAGAGCGAGCCAAGTTACGGGGATTGCAGGCGTCCGTTCAAGAAGAGCAGAGGGTGCAGGAAATTGAAAAGGTGCAACAAATCGAATGTCTCCAAATGCGGCTACAGGCGTGCAGCAAAGAGATCGAGCAGATGAAACTACAGAAGGTGAAAACTTGAGGGGAAAAAAAAAAAAAGAGAGACCAACGGGCAGGAGAAAAGAAAGGAAAAGAATGAAAAAAAGAGACAAAATGGCCAGGATCATCCAGATATCTAGAAAAGCGAACTTCAAGAGCAAACCCACACTAGGCAGGGCTATGTTAGACTGCCTGTAGTTTGCAGGCTAACGCTCGGTAACAGCTGGGTTTGATATATGTTTTGCTGGCTTGTGATGGGGTGTGAACCGACAGTGTGTAGAGTTTTCCATCTGGTGTGGGTGAGTGATAGTCCATTAATGGATAATGGGGACCCCCCTGAGTCGGTGAAACTCTGACAAAACAGTTTGTCACAGCCCCTCGTTTGTTGTCCTCTTCTCCCTCCCTCTCTGCCTACGGTTTACCGGGCAGTTCTGTTTGACGATATATATATATAATAGCAACCTGGTCTTTCAAATTGCTCTCGCTATTGCAGGTTGGCTTTGCTCTCCTGAACTTTTAGCCAGCAAATTGGAGCACTCTGAATTATCCCTCCCTTTTCTTAAGGACTACCGCCTTCCCCCGAACACAACACACCCTCATTTTGGCTTTTACCTGATCGGAAGAGATAGCTTGTATACATTCATTATTGGGGTGCGTTATGTTCGGGAGTAGGCGGTCGCCTAAGCTCTACCTGCTTGCTGCTACCATAGCCTTGAACTTCTGACAGATCAGCCATAGGCACTTAAGAAATCCCTAACTTTCCTTAAACCACCAGTACCTTTCCCATATCTCGGCTGCGGGCACTGCGCACCGCCCCGAAAATAAAGACTGGCTGCCGATTCGATTCATCGGCGGCCGCCCTTCCATTTCAGGCCAGCGCGTTACCCGGCACGCCTCTGAAAAAATAGCTGGGAAAAGTACTGGTGGCTTAAGGACTTGCCTAAACTCCAACAGCTAGCTACCAGAATAGCCCTGAAATTCTGCCAGATCAGCCACAGGCGCGCTAAGTTGCTAACACATTCCTCCCTTTTCCTAAGGACTTGCCTAAACTCTAGCAGCTAGCTAGAGTTTAGTCACTCTAAAATATTTAAGGGCTACCAGAATACCCCTGAAATTCTGGCCGACAGGCCACGTATGAGACTTCAGCGCAAGCTTAGTCCCAAAAATAAGTGATCAGTAGATTCAATACTCTGGATACCCCTGATCGGTATTAGCGGGGTCTATGACCAACGCGGGTGTGAGTGTGAGCGCGAGTGGGTTGTGTGTGGTGTGTGGGAGAGTGTTGGCCATAGCCTCCGCTGCTACTCGATGAGGGGTGGGGGACTATGAGAAAGGGAGGCGCAGCTACTGGCAAAATGCTCGGCCTTTGCGTTAGCCAGACCCCCACCGGCGGCCCCACCCCATCTCTGACTACCGCTGTTGGGGCGGGGGGCAACATGAATTACCTTGTTTGYGAGGCCCTATGCTTGCAGGGGTCCCCTCTATATAGTCTTAGGAGTAGTGGTAGGAAGGTAGTGAAAGGCCAAAAAAGAATTTGAGAGAAGAACATAGTGTGGTTCAAAAAAAAAAAAAAAAAAAAAAAAACTCACCCAGGCAAAAAGAAGAAGTGAAAAACAGGTTTCCCAACTGTAGAGCCCCTCCCCTGTAGTAAAAAGCGTCCATAAATTTTTACTCTCTTGTTTTTACAAGAACCTACTTCACTAACTTTCAGGCAGCTATTCAAGGCTTTTAAGAGTGTGATCCCTAACAGTTCCTTTTCTTTTCTTTTTTTTTTCTTTTTTTTTTTTTTTTTTTGGGTCCAGGTTGTTGTAGAGGTCGGATTCCAGACATATGGCAGCAGTGTCAGTTGCGGCCATTATTGGTTATTCTGATTCTTTGTTTATGAGACCGCATCCCTACCCTTCCTCCCGTCAAATCTCCCGGCGCACCCCTACTCCCACTATCCTACCTCAGTGTTAATCACTCAGGACCATCACCCTCGCTCAGGATCATCACCCACCTACCATCTCGGAGGGTGACATTGACCGAACAGCGGTTATATAGACACTAGGGTTCTCCCTAACGATTCCTTAGAATTCAACGACTTCATATGTCCAACAACAGGTTTACTTCTTTCCTATTACATCCGTAGAGGGGAGAAGGGTGAATGGAGGGGCTGCGGAACCCGGCGACGGCAATCACTATGCGTTTTTTGGGAGAAAGGTGATGGACGGGCTGCAGAACTCTTGCACATGGTGATCAATTTTTCCCATGAATTCTCTATTTTTCCTTAGGGTTCTACCCCCTGAGGGCTCTACCCCTCAGCGGAGCTCTTTGTAGGCCCCAATGCACTACATGTGCAAGAGGTTATACCCCAAAATATCCAACAAGCTGAGTCCACTTACTACTCAATCCACCAGTACTTCCAAGCCACTTTTCTCCGGGGCTGGAAATGCCCCACACGCCAAAAAAAAAAAAAAAAAACGCACGAGCCTCCTTTTGGCTGGTGCCGCCAGCCATTTTGCTCAAGAGGCCGAGCCCTGAAAGTTGCGGCTGCACGCAAGCCGCGACTTAAGAAAAATGGCTGGGAAACGTATTGGTGTTTACCTACCTCCTGGTTCTTAGGCCCGTTAACGCGGTGGCTGAATCGGCCTGCCGGGCGGGGCTATATACATTTGAGTCAGGGGCGGCCTAAGAAATGCTATAGGTACTGGTGGTTTTGACCTATTTACTATCCTATCCAATATCTATCTCCTTGCCCAGATAACCCAGAAGAGTTTAGTCCCACCTCTCCCGCCCTGAAACCTCGAAGGTGTGGGGCGGGGGGGGGGGGGGGGGGGGGGGGGGGGGGGGGGGGAAGAGAACTTCAAACTTCCCAAAATTTATCAGATTCTGAAACTGGAAAGCCTGAGCTCTGAACAAGTCTCAAACTGGAAAGTCTGGACTCCAAAGAAGTCTCAAACTGGAAAGTCTGGACTTCAAGAAGCACTGGAACTGTTTTTTTTCTATTTTGCTTTTTCCCCCCCTTTTAAAAACAAAATAAAACAAAACAAAAAAAGCAGGAGGACTGAAACCGGAAAGTTTGACTTTCAAACAGTTTATAGAGTGCAAACCTGTGAAAAGTTATGTTCACATAGTGCCATATCTGAGACACAGCACAGCATGTCTAAGTCTAAGATGATTCTCAACCCCCCAGATGAATTACATTGGTATCATCACTCCTTTATCTTGACTACTACATCGATTGCCGCAGACGATGTCTTGCATGATACACATCTGTTTGCCCTGGTAATTCTTGATCTACATTTGCCTCAGATGTTTTCAGAAGTTCATTTCATTTCTTCTGTCATCAGATGCCTCTCATTTGTCTCAGTTGCCTTTTCTTTGCTTCAAATGGCTACAAAAGCGGCCTGCATTGGCAGTCAGCAGGCTGGGTTCGGAGCAAGCAGCTGGTGACAGTATCAGTCCTTAAGTTCCTATCTGGCGCCCTCCCCTCTGAGGGTGAAGAGATACAAAGGCAACAGCAGTTTCTCAAAGTCTACACAGGTCTGCTCAGTTAATCCCCTGCTCTGCAGGGCAATCAATGCTGGCAGGCAACAATAGTTCTCCATTCCCATAAAAGACTGCACTTTAGCTCTTACAGATGTATTTTGGCTTCCACATAAGCCTGCTCAGTTAATCCCCTGATTCTGCAGGGCAATCAATGCTGGCAGGCCCCACAGTCACTCACAGTCTCCAGATTTTTCCAAAATATTCTCTTCGATTTCCAGCAGGTAACGCTCCCCTATCAGCAGCACTAGCACTGGAAGGGGTGTTTTTGTATTAAAAAAAAAAAAAAAAAAAGTTTTCCCAAGATGCAGTTTATTTTCTTTCAGATACCTTTCAAGGCTTTCATTTCAGTTTTATCGGATGCTTCTCATTTTCTCAGGTAATCTAAATGATTTAATTTAACTTATGATGATGATGATGATGATGATGATGATGATGATATGTGTGCCTTGCATCTGGCAGGCGGACGAGCTTGCGGAGGTCGAAAGGAGAGTAAAGCAAGTAATCTCCCAGAAAGATGACATCATCAACAATCTGCGGCAACGCATGGATGCCACAAGTCAACAACTAGCTTTTACAGAAAAAGTGTTGTACCAACAAAAGAAAGAAATTTTGGAACACCCCAACTTGTGACGTCTCCCCCTCCCCCTCTTCCCCCCCCCCTCTTTTACAATTTCTGATTGTATAATAATCTCAGATACCTGCGACAATGTTCCGTGCCCTTTCCATCTGAGAGTCGCAATCTATCCACTTTTATCAAGTTTCTAATATTCTTATCAACTCCTATCAAGTTTAACCTAGCAGTTGGCCGCCGAAAGTTGCAAGGGCGGGGGGGTACTATGCCTTAGGAAGTAGGAGGTTCCTTCGTTCTGAATGCTCTTTTGATCCGAGGTTTGGAGGCTACAATAATTTTTTTGTACACATTTATCTTTTTTAGCCGAAGCCGGGTAGTCTTAAGAATGTTTTAGGACTCTGGGGATTCCTAGCAACTTTGTCTTAGGTGGCTTCGATGCTGTTATACTCAGTAACCTGCGGCTGTTCGATGCCAGAACGACGCTGGCCGGTGCTGGGGTGTTGCCCTGTAACCTGCTGATGCAGGAGCGTGAGGCCTGGTAGAGAGATCTGGGGACGCTTTGGGGTGGGCATTCCACGGGACGACCAAGGGTTGCTGCTGGGACGACGCTGGTCGGAGCTGGGTTGAGTTGTGTTGCCCTGTAACCCAGCAGGATGTGGGGGCGTGAGGCCTGGAAGAGCTCGGCAGGGGGTAAAACAGTGTTGGAGAGCTTTGGAAGGGTTTGTTAGGGATTTCGCGGGTTTTGGAGCATTTGTAGGACCTATGCGGTCTATTCCCATCCTTTCCGTATTGCTCAGACGTTTTCTCAAGAGATCGAGGTGAGTGGGAGAAGGAGAAGGTGGGATATCACGCGTCCTACTAGTGCGGGGGCTAGCTGGTAGGATGGGAATAGGGTACAGCAGCAGCGGAGATGGTGGCTCGGCTGCAGTAAGTCTTGCCGGAGTGGGGTACAGGGGATTGATTGGGGGTGTCTGAGTCGTTTTCTGAATTGTGCATATGTTTTTGTTTCTTAGCCATATTTCCAAACTATCTGTTAAATTTTCATATGGGACGCTGGGCCCGGTTCCCAACATGTGCTGCTCCCCACGAATAAAAATAAAAGTAAAAAATTAATAATAAATAAATAAAATTACATATGTTGGTCTTGCATGGGTTTCTCCTCTTCTTTGTTTCCCCAACAAAACTGTGCTTACTTTCAGCAGCCTACTGCCCCTACTGTGTTTGCAAGGTACTCTGAGTATCTGCTTGATGTAAGATGGGACGCTGGACCCGGTTTCCAGCAGGTGCGGCTCCCCACCAATAAATTGGAGCAACCAGGAAACCTGCTAGGGGGGGATGCTCTTATCGGCTCGCCTAGCAGGATTTTCGGTTAAAAAAAAAAAAAAAAAAAAAAAAGTAGCAGGGCTGCTAGCATTTAGTCAGAGGCTCCAGTCCACTGGTGGGAGTGTCACCTTCTGGGAATCGGCCCCAGCGACCATTTTTTTTTATATACTGGAAAATGGGTCCTGCGCCCTTCTTACATCGCATTGCAAAAGAGTTCAGAAGTTGTACTCAAAGTAGGGGGCACTGAACTTCCTCTTCAGCCAAGACTGGCCGCCAGATACAACCTTTTCAACTACCGTCTTCATAGGTACATTGTAGCTGTATTTGGGGCAACTTTCAGTCTAGGTACAGTGATAATGACCGGGTGTTCTATTCGGGTGAAAATGATTGCCAGCTCAGATGGGGGGAACAGTTCAGGAAAATTGACTGTGTCCCCTGGGAATTCTCCAGTATTGAGATTAAACCAATCGTCGAATTTCATATGGTAATTTTCTTTTTGTTGGCGTCCCATTATGTAGAATTTAGTAATTTACAACACTTACAAAAGGTGACACTCCTGCCTTAACTGCACCAATTTTTAAGCTTAGAGTCTGTTTAAGTGCTGGATAGCATTGATTACTCTAGGAGGAGGAGGATTAACTATATGGCAAGAACTGATTCTGTTTCTATCTTGGCTTATCAATCATAGTCCTAGTCTGTTCCTGTAATTGCGGCACTGTCATTCTTCTGTAGCATGGGTTCATCTTACGGCCCGGCCTAGCTCTTTGTTTTACCAAAGGCATGCTGCCACATATTAATACCAAAAGCACCATACACAGATACTCCTCCTGAGACACCGGCAGTCAATCCCCTGACGACAGGGCAATCAATGGTGCCGAGTGCATGGACTGGTATTTTCTGTAAATAATGTTCTTTGAAGCTTGTGTAATGGGACACTGGACCCGGTCTCCAGAAGGTGCTGCTCCCCACCAATAGAAAGGAGCCAAGCACGGGTTACTAGTGGGGGTGCTCATACCACCTCCTATAGTAGCCCGTCCCTTTTTTTTTTTTTTTCTTTGTTCCTTTCTCAACAACAACAACAACAATAACAACACCACCAAAAGCACCATACAAGTATGTTCAACAGGGTACTTATCTACATTTTGTCCTGCTGCACCAGTAGACCAGCATGTGATATCAAGACAATCATGGCTGTTGTGGCACTGTCACATTTCCTAAGGCCTCTGTACCTTCCACACAGACTGAAGGATCCACTTTAGGTCCACTGTAGGTCCACCTTGGAGGTTCTTCTCTCTCACCGCCTCTAACAAAAAGATGCAAAAAACTTCCTGGATGGAATGTTCATGATGGTGCATAAGGGAGAGGGATTAGATTCCTTCTTTTCCCCCTAGTTTTATAAAGCGGTCGAGTTCATTAAGGTATATATTTGATAATAGGGGACGAAAGCCGAAGGGCCGCCGAAAGTTGCAAGGGGGGGGGGGGGACTATGCCTTAGGAGAGTTGTCGGCCCCTGTTTGGTTTTGAGGTCGTTTTTGTTTCATTGATACGTTGATTGATGTACTGCCTTGGGCACGGTGCCCATTTATAAACGAACGAAAAAACTTCCGGAAAAGGTGTTCCTCTTGGATTTCCCTAGTTTGCTGGCATTCTGGACTTACTCAACCCCAACATCATACAGCATCTACAAAATTTACGTATTTATTAGCTTGCAAAAATTAAGAGTTGAAATGGTCCTATGTGAAGAAGAAGAAGAATAAGAGGGGGTACAGGAGGAGGAGGAGGAAATAGAAGAAGAAAAAGAACAAGAAGGGGAACAGGAGGAGGAGGAGGAAGAATGAGAAGAAAAAGAAGAAGAAGAAGAAGAAGACAAAAATGGAAAAGGAAGAAAATGTGCAGAACGGGGAGAGTCGACACAGGGCGTTGTGTCGAGCAGGGAAAGCCGCAAGAGGGCATAGTGGGTGGAGGCTGAGGAGCAGTGAACATTGCGTTTACTATGAATAGTCAGGAATGTGTCTTCCCACGTTTTGTGGGGGAAGGTGCAGTCATTTTTCCCCCTGTGTCGAGGTCCTTTGAATCCCTATCGAATCCGATGAACGCAATAAACGTAGGGGCTACCCCTTTTGGGGGGAAAAAGGGAATCAAACGTGGGCGTAGTGGGTGTAGGCCGAGGAGCCGAGGAAGTAGAGGAGGTGCATGGTGAGAAATGGGTCCAGTGAACACTGCGTACCTTCTCTTGCAAGCTCGGAACTCTCAAGCCAATTGGTGTGCTTCTGTAGTTGGTGTGGCCTTTGGCGAGCAGATCATTCAGCAAAGATGTCGACCAGCGAGTTAGCTTGCATGTATGCAGCTCTCATCCTGCACGATGATGGAATCCCCATCACTAGAGATAAAGTCACCACCTTGGTGAAGTCCGTCAGTGTGAAGGTGGAGGGTTACTAGCCTGCTCTGTTTACCAAGCTGTTCGATAAAATAAACCTGGACAGCCTACTTATTAACGCGGGCTCGGGTGGTGGCCGACCATTCAAGATTTTCATACTGCCCAAAACTCTCATTTTACCACTTCAGAACACCCTTCACCACTTTAGAATGCAGCCTGCCTAAACAAGTGGTTTTCAGGGTCTTCGGACCTTTCACCACTTCAGGACTATTCATGATTTTCAAACTGCCCAAAACTCTCACTTCAAAATTTTCATTCCTGAATTTTCAGCTACATGATAACCGCTTGTGACTTCCGCGGGACTTTTCCTAATGGAGCGACACTATCTTGTGCCGCTGTGACGCCCAAACCTCACGCCCAGCACGACTTCCTGATCGGAGTAGAGTGTGGGCATGGAAGTGCGAAAAGGGGTGTGCCAAGGATTTTTGGGAAAGTGGGGGTGGAGTCCCAGGTCAGAACTGAGATCTCCTGTGGCAGGGTTTTTCGGGGGCACGGGTGCAATTCGGCAAAAAGGGCGGACCACTTCTGGTCATAAGGCAGATGGCATGTGCGGGTCCTTCAAGATCGTGCGATCCATCGTTTTTTAGGGTGGCGGTTCGTCGAAAAGTCTCTTCGGGGCGGGTGTGGTTCCGATGAGTCAATCCGTCGGTTGTTGTCACGTGGGGCCGGTCGTCGTACGTTCTGGTTGGGCCCTCGTGGTCCCGGGGTTCTTTGATTGGCGCGTTGTCGGCAATTTCCACAAGGCGTGCTGCGCCAGTAGCGGGCTATGACTTTCCACGGGATGACCCTGAGTTGGTGATACGGGAGAAGAAGACGGAAAGGAGGGAAGTTGGTGGAGATAACGACGAAGCCGGGGGAAATAAAATAGTGAGTGTGGTCCGCAGTGGGGAAATCAAAGCATCGGGGGTCGCTGGTAGTGGCGCAATGAAACTCCCTAGGACACAGTCGGTTTTCTGTCACGCAAGGGTATCTCTGTCGAAGGCTTTCTTCTATCCAATGGGTGAAGTATTCCGGGTTGTATAACGACTCTGAGCTCTCGGAGCGTGTCATCATATCATCGCAGAGCTGCGAGATGCCTAAGGGCGGGTCTGTGCCGATTGCAATCACCGCGTGTGAGCACGTGCAGGCCTCGCGAATCGAGTCGTGCTTACACGTGTTCACACGGGATGATTACTTTGTTGCTACGCGGAGTGACCACACCAATCGTTTGTCGTTCTCGTTATGTGTGGCTTGGTCGTAAATCGCTACGCGGGGACACGTGTAAGTGCGCAAAGCAGGCCGTACTTATGCGCGTCCCTACACGGCGTTTGCTGGTTTCTGGACAAACAGCTACCCAACTACCTACTCAGTCCGCAAATTTCGAGTATGCAAAATGCGA